TCTCTCTCTCTCTCTCTCTCTCTCTCTCTCTCTCTCTCTCTCTCTCTCTCTCTCTCTCTCTCTCTCTCTCTCTCTCTCTCTCTCACGCGCGCGCATGCTGAGCTTTGTTCATTTGTGTGGTTGGGGTGCTTGAGTCTAAATATTGATGTCTCTTTTCTTTTGTTTTTTTTTCCTGCTATTTCCTTTTCTCGTTTTGCAATTTTCAATACTACAAACCTCTGTCCCGTTTGACAAACCCTAAACTTCGAAGAACAGGGGGGTACCATTCCTGTAAATGCTTGCAAATATAGGGATTCTTCTGCAACTTCCAACATCCCCACTCATGAACCCACTACTGCCACACTTGTACCATTTCAAATCCACCTCTGCCTAAACAACAGCGCACATGTATCTGAACTGAGGGCTGCCTAAACAACAGTGCAAATGTATCTAGACTGAATGCTGTGTCAAATACAGCGGTAGGTTGCCTAACCAGCACCAGTTGCAGACCCATCAGCAGCTTTTCGTTTTTTTTCCCTTTTTTTTTGGCGATCAGCAGCTCAGGCCAGCACAGTTCGTAAAAGCAGTGGAGCCGAATAGAACACAAGGTTGTTATAGCTGAATTTGGGGCAGTTTTCGGTCTACATACAGCGATAATTACCGTGCGTTCTATTCGGGTGAAGATGGTCGTTTCCACATTTGGAAGGGAACACCCCCTCCCATTATTGTATTCATCTGGTCCGATTGAGATTCGATGATTTGTTTACTAACAGTTCATATCTGTACCATTCAAGCATAATGGGCTAGGTACATATATAGATTATTATTTTATTTCCATACCCAAAGCTGTTGGTTGCAGCAGACCCCCACCAGTTTTCACCACAAGCTCAGAAGAGGTGCAGGCCGAGGGAAGAGCACCGCGTTTCGCTCGAATAGAACACACGGTCGGTCATTATCGCCGTATCCAGATTGACAGTTGACCCAAGTACATCTATAATGGCCGTGCGTTCTAATTGTGGGGGGAGGGGGGGGGGGGGGGGGGGGGGGGGGGGGGGGGGAATGTAGCATCGGAGAAGACGGTAGGCCTGCCAGACTTTTCGGTCATTCAACAAACCCTCCCTGCCAAAATCCTCCTCTGTGCAAGCACGGATTCGAACCGGCGACCTCGGCTCGATCCGTACATACCCGCCAAAGTCCTCCTCCGTGCAAGCACGGATTTGAACCGGCGACCTCGGCTCAATCCGTACATACCAGCCAATTCTCCGCGCAAGCAGGGATTCGAACCGGCGACCTCAGCCTCACGCGCCGAGTATCGTAACCACTACAGCCAGGACACCGTGTTCACAAGTGTAACCATACCGTCCGTGATAATCCATTCGCCGCTCCCCTTGAAATACTTCCTGAGTGGTATTTTCTTTTTCCTGTATTTCAGATGCTGCGTACAGTACCAAATAAACCATTAGGTGTTTTACTCAATGGCTTCAGTTCCTGTGGGTCTATTGACTTTTCTATTTTTTAGAGGATGTCAATAAGTTTCAAAACCCATTTAGACGTCCGGTAGCTACGACAGTCTTTTTTTAATAGGTACTGCAGTAGCGATTTGGTTGGGAATCGGTGCACGGTTCCAATCGATAGGTCATCTTGTAATAAAATAGATTATAGCAAAATGCAAGGAAGATGAGTAATAGCGAACTCCAGCAATCAAACAGCATCATACATATGAGTCCAGATAGTCTTGACCTCGAACCAACAGCAGAATTGCATCACGAGATACACCAAATAAGAACACACCAAGATTTCACAATTGACAATGCTGAAGTAGTCCCATCATCATCAACGAAGAACCAGAGTTGATATCCTATTGGCGCTCGGCGCCCAGACTACATGTGGCA